AAACGAAATAGCCTAAATTAGTAAGTTTAAAAGTTAAAAAGTTAGTGATTACACTTAGACCAATAAAAATTTAGCTTGAAGCAAAATCGGAAACCAGAACTAAACATAGAAAATTACCCACCATGTATTAACCACCATATTACTGTACTTACATAAAAGTAATTTTAAAATAGAATCTTGGTGTACGTTCTGGCATTTTAATAAAAAGGATTGGTACGCTAAAATTAAACATGACATTAAACAGTTTTTAATAACCAATTTAATCAGCAACTAAAATGAAGGAGTCCAAATCTGCATCAACCGAGAACCAAATATCCCGATGGAAGTTTCCTCTATATTAAAAAACATTGGTGCCGTTGGAACAGTCTGGAAGATATACTGTACATGTACTTGTGTTAGGTTTCTTTACTTAAAAGTGACAAAACTTTACTATTTCGTCTTAAATATATAAAAAAAATTGGAGATTTTAAAAAGATAACTAATCGCTCCATTGACTAACACGGCACTGTCTCTTTACCTGCAAGAAATGTAATTTTTAATTGTAGAGACTGGATCATCGCAATTTTCGTGACTATAAATCTAAAATAGTAATGCGAAATAGAATTGTGTGAAAGTGTGAATCACACGTTTTTTAATTGTTAGAATTACTCACGACATATAAAGGAATTAATCAGCAGACTTTGAGAGCAAACCGTATTTCTACATATAACTGCTCCACAAATACCCAGATCCAAACTAAGACTATTATTGATGTTAAGATATTTGTTTGCTCCTGTTGAGATCTTTTGGTTCTCTTCTACTATCTCTTGTTTGTTTTTTGTATTATTAGTATTATTTAAATTAGATTTAACTTTATTCTTCGATTATACAATAAATACCACTTCTAAGAATTGTCAATTTTCTCCATATTCCCTCTTTCAGCCGTTCTCTCCAAAACTTCTGCAAATTTACTCATTTTTTTGTGCACTGATGTTCTATTCATAAACTTAGATCGTCTCTTCATTTTGTGCAATAAATACCTTACAGCGAAACTTAACGTATACATGAATTCTTATTCTTCCACACTTTATTTTCCATGATTTGAGATTTCCCAAGGAGTATTTTGAACAAAGCATAGGATGTGCGTAGAGCAGAGTAGATAAAATAAATATATGCCATTGCCTGCATTAAGCGTGTTTGTAGATATGTCTAGAGGTATGTGGATTTTATCATTTTCCAGAAACTTCCGTAAAATGACGTAGTTTCGCCTCTAGTTACTAAAGTCCTCCGACCGTACGAATAGTCACGAACTCGGAATTAATTCGAAAGTTGGAATAGTTTTGAGATACATTATGGAAATCCCCTTCTATTTCATAAGTATTTTTTAAGGTAGTTAGTGTATAGTGTATAAAATCTGTATTTTACCTCCTTCGTAAGTATTTGGGTGCTTCAGTTTACAATTAGAAAATATAGTTTATTGTATAGGAACGCATTTTTTTATAAATTTCTAAAAATATTCTACGATTTATTTACGTTTTTACGATCTAATTATTTATATTTTTTTGAGCATTTGCATTGTCGATGATTGCACAAGATTCAAGAATGTTTACTATTTTAATTGTTACTTAAATGTAAAGACATAATATCAAGTCTTTGTAATGTTATGCATATTTTATGGTTCCGAATTCCTTCACAGTTTTTCAATCTTCTTTTATTTATATAAAAAGAAAATATTTAGCCACCTTGGCATCTGTTTAGGTTTGTTTTTGCTGTATTATTTCAACATTTTATCCTGAATATCTCAGAAAGTATCACACAGAAGACAAAAACTGATGAAAAAAAATTGTTTATAATTAAAATATATTTCGAAAATTACTTGTGCAATTAGTAAAAAACTGGAAATGTGCAAAAAATATTATAAAAATAACGTTTTGAAAATTTGCTTATAGAAAATCGGAAAACTCTGAATAAATAAAAAAATTGAAATTTAAATATACAAAATAATACCCTAAAAAAAAACGGGACACATTTTTTTTTGTTTTTGCATAATAATTATGCAATCGAGTTCAAAAATGTTTAAAACATTGTGTAGAAAATCATTTGTAATATACTCTAGTTATAAAAGTATTTTTTACTCAAATTTGATTATACGATTAACATTCATCATCTAATGTAACTTTTCTGTCTAAACATTAATAAAACATTTTCATATTGATAAACATTGTTTAAAAAGTTATATTCTACATAAATTATAAAAAATTATTTTCAATTTTAAAAAAAACATTGTTGTTACATTAAATCAGTTATTTAGTATGTTTAATTGGAATTAACCGCAATTTTAGTTCAAAAAAACCTTATATTGACGTTTTGATTTCCACTTCAGAAATTGTTTCCAAACTTTTTTTTTAATTTGGTAATACAAAAAAATAATTCGTATAATTTAATAATTTTATCTGCCGCATTCATCTCATTTTTTATAGGCTAGCAAAAAAATATTTCAGTTTCAAAAACGATTGATGGTGTTTATATATACTTACAATATTTTTATCAAATTTTGGATATATTGATCAGCAAAAAAATACCTTTTGCTCATTTAAAAGATTCCCCAGGATCACCAAGTACCCGATTTTAGTTTTTCAAAATAGGTTTAAAAACGGATTTGCTCCTATACGAGGTATGGCTATTAAATAACGAGACTGAGCGCGCAGAAGGCGTCCTAGAGGAGAAGTGTGGGAAACGAATGCAGCATTGGATAGCTGGAAGTGTCTACCCTTCCAGTACGAAAACACGTTTTTGTCGTTGTAGTAGTATTTTTTTGTAGAGGTTAGAAAAGAACGTGTTTTTTATCGTGCCGATAACAATGTATGATGAAAAACATGAGCAACGGATTAATGTGAAATTTCTCGTTAAATTAAAAAAAAACTCCGACTGAGTGCTATAATTTGTTGAAAGAGGCCTATGGTGAGAATTCTCTATCTCGTGCGCGTGTTTTCGAATGGTATAAACGGTTTTCTGATGACCAACGTCCAGGTCTTGATGACCTGTCTTTGTTTCAAATCAGCAAACAGTGACCAAAATAAATGAAATTGTGCGAGGAGATAGTCGTATGAGCATTCGGATGATTGCTGCGACTTTAAACGCCGATAAAGAAACTGTCAGAAAAATTTTACATGGCAAATTGAACATGAAGAAAGTCTGTGCGAAGTTGGTTCCAAAAAAATTGATCCCTGGCCAAAAGAAACTGTCAAAAAAATTGTACATGAAGAAAGTCTGTGCAAAGTTGATTCCAAAAAATTTGACCACTGACCAAAACCTCGTCCGTGCTCAGATTTTCTTGAGAGGTTACATGAAGAACCTGAATTAATGAAAAACATCATCACTTGCGATGAAACCTGGATATTCAAATACGATGTTGAAACTAAGCGCCAATCCATGCACTGGAAAACTCCCGCATCGCCAAGAATGAAAAGAGCAAGGATGTCGAAATCAAAATTTAAAGCCATGCTAATCGTTTTTCGACATTAACGGCATTGTGATGACTGAATGGGTTCCAGAGGGTCAAACTGTGAAACCAAACTTATTATTTGAGAGTTTTGGTAACGCTGCGGGAGCAAGTTCGTAAGAAACGGCCGGAGTTGTGGAAAAACAAGCCGTGGATCTTGCACCAGGACAACCCATCTTCATAACGCGCTGTCTGTGAAGCGTTATTTAGCCGCTAGAGGCATTCCAGTGCTCAAAAATCCACCGTACTCTCCTGATTTAGCACCCTGTGACCTTTTACTGTTTCCGAAGATCAAGTCTGCCTTAAAAGGAATCCGGTTCGGGTCGTTGGAGAGGTGAAGCGAAAAACGGCGGAGCTCCTAAAGATGTATAAAAAGGACTTCCAGAATTGCTTTAACCAGTGAAAAAAAACGAATGGAACGGTGTGTAGCGATGGAGGAGGAATATATTGAAGGAGAGCATTCGAATGCAGAATAATTTTTAAATTAAAACTATTTTTCATAAGCAATCTCGTTATTTAATAGCCAGACCTCGTATACATAAAGATCAGCGAAACACACAATTTGCCATGCAACAAAACTATCATAGCTGGATTGAAAAATCATTATGGAAAAACAGCTCCCATTTTTGTTTACACCATTGTTTTGAATATATCTTTAAATTTTATATATCAAATGTTCCGACATTTTAAACGAGTTTCCCCATAAGCACTTTTATTACTAAAACAATGTTTTCACAATTTTTTTCTGAATCTTCATTTTTGTACATTAGTTTTTGTTTAAATTGCCCAAGCAACTTCTGATAAGAAATTTAAATGCAACTTACCCTTTATCCAGGATAAAATTTGATCAAAATGTCAACTATTAAATAATGTTTCATTGAATTGTTTGTGGCGTATATTTAAGGATTGAAGAAGTGATCTACCAAAAAGTAGTCAATAAATATGCATCACACAACCATTCCTAATATTTATCACTATTTATTTCGACACGGCAAATACAATTTTTTTAATGCACAGTTATCTTCCAGACTGCAATTTCTTTATGTCCCAGTTAAACATTTTCCGGTTGAGGTTTCCACATTGGAAAAACGGTTAATTTGGAGAAAGGATTTGTAGGGAAGGATAACACAATACAGGTAACATTCCTTTTTATGATAAATTGTTTAAAGGGTAGTTAAAATATCGGTTCTAGTACTATCTTCCTTGAATAGTGCCAACGACTGACGATATTAGTAAAAGTTAGTAAATTTAAAGACTGGTGATCAATAATATGTCATATGTTACATTAACGTGGAACAATATGTTGGATATTGTTTATTTTATATTTTTGCCATATCAAAATTGATAAGTAAATACATACCTTATACTGAACCTAGTAATCGTAATATTATCGTAATATTATTCCACGAGTTAACGAGGTAAAAAAGATAGTACTAAAAAACCTTGTATAAATATTAGATATGATGGAAAAGGATAAAACATAATCTCAACGACGATTTTGATAGAAAGGATAACAAACCTGTGTTCCACTGCTAAGATCGTAGAATACACCTGACGTGACTCCTTCATCCAGTTCCTAAGTGTCAGTTTTCAATAAGTAACCCAAACGATTATTATTTGTGAAACACTTAGACCTGGTAAATGGGATTTTTGATGATAGTTCCAATAATTTAACAAAGGCCTTTCTATAAATGTTGGGCCTATTTTTACAAAAATAATTTTAAAGAAAATTTCAATTTTGTCCATAATTAAGTTTATAATAAACTGTAAAAGGTAATTTGAATTTGTTAAACAATCATTGTTAAAAAATGAAATGAAAATTATCTTATGTACATAATGATGCATTTTTGAGACGTCCATGAAAAATCCCACTTGTTTAAACATTTAAAAATATTAAAAAATTTAGTATATTGGCCAACTAAATAGTAAGCAAAGCCTGTGGCCAATATAAACTAGTTTCCTTGGGCGACCAACCAACTAGACTTATATAACAGAAGTAGCTGAAAAAAGAATTGGAATCATCTATATTTTCATTTCAATATTCAATCAATATCATATTATTTACGTAAATACAATGTGAGTATATTGTATAGAATTTCGCAATAAATTTATATTTTAACTTTGAACAATTTCAAATTTAGTTTCTATTTTTAACACATTTGTAAAATGGCTTTCTATAAAGAAGTCTATAAGATTGTTTAAGAATAACGTCATTAGATTCTTAATAGGTTCTATTAGAATTTAGGAAAAATTTTACGCGAGTAGTCTCGCTTATGTCTCCACTTGGAGATATCTAATAAAAACAATTGATAAGTGTAATCAGATGACGTTTAACCCCGCACAACAAGCATTATCATACTAGAGACAATAAAAAATACAGCCACAACAAAGCAAAAATTGCTCATCGTGCTGTTCCAACTCAAGGTGAAGATATTACTTGGGCCAGGTAGACTGTTGCCACTGGATACAAGAATAATAACACGCAAGATATAACGCATTCACAAAAACTCACAAAACTACTTCCAATAAAAATATTATTAATTTATACAAATAGCCAAACGACTAATTTGGCTGTAAGGAATCCACTCACCAAATCAAAACTGGTAAGGAAATGCAAAGATCTCCACATCAACCTGGCAAAAGACAATAAAGTGTCTTTAATTTGGGTGCCGCGTCATGAAGGGAAGTATGGAAAAGAAACAGCAGATTTATTGGCAAACTAAGACTCGAGTGAAACCTTTGTAGACCTAGAACCATTGTATTGATCACCAAAGACGCTACAAGAAACGAAGTTCAGCCTAGGGGAAATCCAGACTAAGAAAATAGTCAAGAATATTGATAAAAAACTTTCAGAAAATTTGATGAACCTCAATAAACGCGCGATTAAAACGGTCACCAAAATGGGAACTGGACATTGTTGTTTATAAAATTACCTATACAAAATAGGTAGGGTGAATGGAAGAAGAGTCCATACACATCAAATGCAATTGCAAGATGCTGGGTGACATGAGGTGGGAATTCACTGGTTAACTGAGACCTGAACCAGAAGAAATCCTTAAACTACCAATTAGGAATCTGTTCGCCTTCGTTGATGAGTTTAATAGGAAAAACAGATATGGTAGAAAGGCCTTATGACCAGGTAACAAAGATTGAAGTATCTCGTCTGAACTAAGAAGAAAAATAATGTATAGCAATCTAAGAAAAAGAACGTCTATAACAAGAAACCAACATTAGAAGGTGAATTGCATACTCTTACAGAAAACAACGAGAAACTTAAGTAACTCGGCACTGGATATCAAGATCTCAAAGCAAGAAGTTCGGCAACATAAGGAAACAGGATGTTGGAACTAGAAAGGTCGTCACATCACCCTAAAAACTGATGCGACACTGTCTACTAAGCGAACTGCCTGTATCAGAAGTATTTCCAGAGAAAAGCTCTAAAAATTACAGAAAAGAGCTGTAACTTGCTTCTCAAATTAAGACGGGAATTGAGACAGCAGTAATCCCCAAGAACTGTTCGGAGAAAAAAATGTCTGAGAATAAAATAGGGAACATACAACATGCCCTACCATGGATGGGTATTTAAGGTTTATACAGTTGAATAAAATGATATTTACGCCACTTGCTGACATTAATGAATCAAAGCATTTGACAATTACTTCCACGTAATAGACCCAAAAGGAAAACATGCAGACAGAAGAAACCTCTTATGGATAATAATTTAAACATCCTAAAGATAAGATTAGTGGGCTGCAGTTTAGAGGATTGGAGCTAACTATATCTGTACCAGACACCTAGATACTGGCTTACCAAGCTAGGGTTCGATTCCCGACACAGACACCAGAAAGTTTTCAATTTATAATTTTTTAGGGGAACGTAAAGTCGTCGGACATGTAGCTAGGAGCGATCTAAACAAATGGCACAGATCAATTTTAACCTGGAGACCATACCAACACAAAAGACCCAGAGGCAGACCTCCTATGAGATGGACAGATGATCAAAAAGGACTGCCGGGAAAAATTGGCTACAAGTAGCGTACAATAAAAAACAATGGAAAGGAAGACTTCAAGAGGCTTATGTTCAGATGTGGACGTGAATGGCTAGACGAAGAAGAAGAAAGTCGTCGGAACTAGCTACGAAGTAATCATGAACACTAAAATCTGAGCCAGAAGGTTAGACGAATGGAAAATGTACAATAATAAAAAAAAAACAGACATCAGTATATCCAGCAGTATTTCCGCCTAAAACGGTTGAAGCCTTTTATCTAGATCACATGCCGTCTGGGTAGAGTTTAATGAAAAATATGGTTTGTTACCAAGGTCTCTCTATCGACCTTTGTTCCGCTACAAGAATCCCAAACAAATTACTATAGATTAATCAGATTGTCACAATTATTGACAACACTTTTAAAGGTTTTACATGCAAGTATATTCAGAAAGTGTGAAGCGGATATGAGTAGACAGTTTCTCTTTCGTAATGGCTTCGGAACAATAGAAGCTCTGCATAGATTCGCAACCCTTGCTCAAAAATGTCGAGACCAACAAAAAGATCTTTCCGTTGCATTTATAGACTATGAGAAAGCTTTCGACAAAGTTAAACATAACATTCTTACGGTATATCTAAAGCGAAAAAAACGAGAAAGATCTGCAGACGCTACTAAATATAATTTGTGATACTGGGGAACAGTTTGGTTTAACAATAAACATAAAGAAAACAGAAACCATGGTTATTATAAGTAAGATCAGTAAAATTATAACAAAGATCCAGATAAAAAATTAAGATATTGAACAATTGGCAAAAATTAAATACTTACGAGCCTGGATTACTGACGAATAGAGCAATAAGAGCAGCTTTTTTGGAGAAAAGGAAATTTCTGAGTAACCAAAGACAATCTGCAAATCCGATATCGAATGGTAAAATGTTATATCCACTCTAATCTTCTGTATGATGCCGAAGCTTGGATACTTAATGTCGACTTAATGAAAAAGCTGAAAGCTTTTGAAATGTGGCTTATTAGAATTTTGAAAACATCATGGACCGATCATATTACGAATGAAATGCTGCTGCACAGAATGGGAAGAGACAGAAAACTTTTGACCAATATTAAACAAAAAAAAAAACAGCATATTCGTAGCATATTTAGCATATTTAGAAATGACAGGTACGAGTTGTTGCAGCTGATTATGAGGGGTAATATCAAAGAAAACAGGCGTCCTGGTAGACAAAAAATATCCAAGGTCAAAAACATTCGTGACTGGCCAGGTTAGACACAGACTCTTTTAAGAAAAGCAGAAGATAGAGACGAATTTTCAATGGTTATAGCCAATTTTCATTAGTAGAGGCAGCACTAGAAGAAGATACCGAGGTCTCTGGTAACCTGGAAACCACTGGAAACCCAGTATCAGCGGTAAAGTAGTATATTGCCTGAAGTATTAAGAAAACAAAATAAGAAAATTGAAATTTTTGAATACAATACTGTTTAAATGTAATATGACAGAGTTCTTATAACCATCAGCAGGTTCTATTTAACACCGAGGAAAAAAAAATTAAAATAAAAAGAAAATAGTGAAGTCGGACTAAGATCAAAGAGCAGAAGCCAGCATAAAATAAATATGATCTAGAAATATTATCTTAAATGCTAAACATGTCCAATCGCTAAACGTCTCGAACATTTTAGAGTGTGATAGTAAAACTTAAATGAATGTGATGTCAGACCAGGAAATGTACTGCAAAATCATAGAATAGAGCTTGATAAGCTATGTAACCAGGGTTTGGTGGCCAATAGTTTTCTCAAACAGAAGAGGTAGCCTGAGAAACTATTAGTACCTAATCATAAGTAAGGCGCCTTCTCATTGGCGAAACAAGGTTGATACATAACTGCTATAACAGAGTAGTGAATGTCATTTTGGATTTAGGGATGCTAAAATTTGACTTATTTTTAAGATTCGATGTACAAATTCATTCCTGAACGTCAATCAAAGAATTTATTTTAAACATTGTATTTATATTGGACTAAACCACAATCGATTGCAATATAAATTACATATTACATTTGTTTTGACGTTTCGATCTTCAATCAGCAAATAGTTTTCAAAACAAATTATCACTAAATAATATTGTTTTTGAGTTATTTTAATCTGTAGTTGTTTATTAATTGGCGCTTTGTTTCAGTCAATTTGACATATGACTTACTTCACCTCGATCTTATTGGTAAATAGCCTTGTTTTAGATTCAAAATGAATAATTTAGATTGATAACAAATTCTGATTTTTGGTGTGTTGGTGTGTCCCACTATACATCTGTTTTATAGATTACCGTAAAGCGTTCGACAGGGTCAAGTGGAGACACTTATGGCGAATACTAAAAGAAGTAGGCGTACCACAACATCTAATTACGGGTTACAACGGGGTGTCAGACAAGGATGCATACTATCTCCACAATTATTCAACATATATGGGGAGTATATTATGCGAAGAGCACTTGAAGGATGGGAAAAGGGCATCTCAATAAATGGTCATAAACTAAACAACCTACGTTTCGCAGATGACACAGCCCTTCTTGCAAATATTCAAGCAG